TAATGTAAATGTTTAAAAATTATTTCTCCTAGTCAGTATATCTGTTCGATCAAAGGAGAGAATATCCCTTCAGTGAGAAGTGACATACGCTGGCAGGTTCCTGAGAAAATGTTGAGCTTCACTAGATTCTAAGAAATTTAAGTTGTTTCCATGTGTAAATAAAGTGTCAGACATCTTAGTTGCCTATAATTTGATGAACAAAACAGAGTTGTTTTGAGCCTCTTGTCATCTATAAGTGGCAAACATCTCCCTAACAGTCCCCCGCCCCTGCATAACAGTTTCCTGTTGAGACACTAAAATAAGAATCTCTTCTATTTCTGAAAGATTTACATAAGAAAAGTTTTTTCCATAACCTGACAACTTTTATTATAAATGTTGGCATCATTTATAGTTTCCTCAAGAAAGCAAAGTATTTATTAAAATTAGACAATTCTTGCCCAGGCTGCTTTGGCTCAGAAGATAGAGTGTTGGCCCACAGACTGAAGGGTCCCAGGTTCAATTCTGGTCAAGGGCATGTACCTCTGTTGCAGGCTTGATCCCCAGCCCTGGTTGGGGCATGTGCGGGAGGCAACCAATCGATGTGTGTCTCTCACATCTATGTTTCTCCCCCTCCCTTGCACTCTTAAAAAAATAAATGGGAAAATATCCTTGGGTGAGTGTTAACAACAACAAAAAGTATCTAATATATGCTTACTATAGAAAGATAGAAAAAACAATAATAATAACCATTAAAATCACTTTATCAGTGCTAAACCATATACCTGTAAATATAAACATGTTGGTGTATATATATCCTACAAGGCATTTTCCCCCTCTCCAAATACATGTGTTGGCTGTTTATTTACAGAATAAAAACAATGTTTGCATATTACATTTTATGGATGTAGATGAACCTTAATGTACCCCCCCACCCTCTTTCTAAAAATACATAAATAATTATTACAAAAAAATTATGTGCCTTGGAAATCACTGGCCAATTTAGGGGAGAAGAGGGGAAGCAAAAGATATTTTGAACAACAAACTTGACCTAATTGACATTTATAAAACACTCCATCCAATAGCAACAGAAAACACATTTGTTTGAGGTACCAGAACATTTATCATGTTCTGAGCAAGGAACTGAAGGCAATTTTCTAAGAAGTTAAGCATATATCTACCACATCATCCAGCTATTCCACTCCCAGGTATTTACCCAAGAAAAAAGAAAAATATATGTCCATACAAGATTTGTACAGATTGATGTGTGAATGTTCATAGCATTTTTAAAATATGTTTGTTTTTATTGATTTCAGAGAGGGAGAGAGATATAGAAACATGAATGATGAGAGAGAATCATCAAATCAGCTGCCTCCTGCATATGTCTCTTTTATTTTTCCCCCGCCCTTGACAATCCCCCAGCCTCCCCTAGCCCCCAGTGTCTTATGTCCATTGGTTATGCTTATATGCATGCATACAAATCCTTCGGTTGATCTCTTACCCCCCCCACTCCTGTCCCCCAACCCTCCCCGGCCTTCCCGCTGTAGTTCGACAGTCTGTTCGAGGCAGCTCTGCCTCTGTATCTATTTTTGTTCAAAAGTTTATTATGGTCTTTATTATCCATAAATGGGTGAGATCATGTGGTATTTTTCCTTCATTGACTGGCTTATTTCACTTAGCATAATGCTCTCCAGTTCCATCCATGCTGTTGCAAATGGTAAGAGTTCCTTCTTTTTTACAGCAGCATAGTATTCCATCGTGTAGATGTACCACAGTTTTCTAATCCATTCATCTACTGATGGGCACTTAGGCTGTTTCCAGATCTTAGCTATGGTGAATTGTGCTGCTATGTTCATAGCATTTTAAAAATATGTTTGTTTTTATTGATTTCAGAGAGGGAGAGAGATATAGAAACATGAATGATGAGAGAATCATCAAATCAGCTGCCTCCTGCACATTCCCTACCAGGTATCAAGCCTGCAACGTGGGCATGTGCTCTGATTGGGAATGGAACCATGACCTCCTGGTTCATGACACTCATACACCGAGCCACACCGGCCGAGCTGAATGTTCATAGCATTTTATTTGTAAAAGCCCCAAACCAGTGTTTCATCTACAAGTGAATGGGTAAACAAACTGTAATATATCCACACAACAGAATACTACTCAGTAATAAAAAGACGTAAAATATTGATACTGATGTAACAATGTGAATGGATCTCAAAGTAATTATGCTACAGGGAAAGAAGTCAGACAAAAAGTATACATACTTTATGCCTCAATTTGTGTAAAACTTGAGAACATACATACTGTTGTGAAGGCAGATGGTAAGACAGATGGAAGGAAGATTAAAGGGCATGAGGAAACTTGGAGGTGATAGATATGTTCATTATCTTAGTCTGATGGTTTTATAGGTTATACATATATCAAATTTTATAAAATTATAAACAAGATGTACAGTTTATTATTTATCAGTTGAACCTCAAAGCTGTCTAAAATATGAATGAATAAGGAAATCCTGTATAATAAAAAGCTAATGTGCAAATTGTCCCCTTGACCGGGAGTTTGACTAGGGGGTGGGGCTGGCCAGCTGCCTGTGGCCCCTCCCCCTGGCCAGCCCACCTGATCGGCCTTATGGGGCAGGCTGGCTGGACCCCACCCGTGCACAAATTTGTGCACTGGGCCACTAGTAGTAAAGTAAAGGATTCATGATAGTGGAGCTGTTTATATCACCACAGTGGTTCTTAAACCCTTACATGCAAGCAGCATGATATATTTTTTAAAATTCTTTATTGTTGAAAGTATTACATATGTCTCCTTTTTTTCCCCCATTGACCTCTCCCCACTGCTCCTGTCCCTCAGCACAGGCCCTCACCCCCTAATGTCTGTGTCCATTGGTTATGCTTATATGCATGCATACAAGTCCTTTGGTTGATCTCTAATTCCCCTTCCCACCCTCCCCTGCCTTCCCTCTGAGGTTTGATGGTCTGTTCAATGCTTCTATGTCTCTGGATCTATTTTTGTTCATCAGTTTATGTTGTTCATTATCTTCCACAAATGAGTGAGATCATGTGATATTTATCTTTCTCCGGTAGGCTTATTTCGCTTAGCATAATGCTCTTCGGGTCCATCCATGCTGTTGCAAATGGTAGGAGTTCCTTTCTTTTTACGGCAGTGTAGTATTCCATTGTGTAGATGTACCACAGGTTTTTAATCCACTCATCTGCTGATGGGCACTTAGACTCTTTCCAAATCTTAGCTATTGTAAATTGTGTTGCTATGAACATAGGGGTGCATATATTCTTTCTGATTGGTGTTTCTGATTTCTTGGGATATATTCCTAGAAGTGGGATTACTGGGTCAAAAGGCATTTGTAGTTTTTTGAGGAAACTCCATATTGTTTTCCACAGTGGCTGCACCAGTCTGCATTCCCACCAGCAGCGTACGAGGGGTGGCATGCCATTTTGCCATGTACTGTGCTGGATCAGTGAGACGATCTTGCTTGCTGATTTGCACTTTACAACCAGAGCTAATGGAGAGTGTTAGGATTCTAGAAAATATATCGGGGGGGAGGGGGGGAGTGACTCACATTTATACATGTTAACAATTGAGCATTGAATTTTTAAGTAGCAATATGATTTCTAATGAGGACCTCAATCATATTGTATCAGCCTGAGTAGAGAAGAAGAATAGAAAATATGGGGTGAAGCCAAACCCATAGAAACAGAAAGTAGAATGGTGGTTATCAGGGGCTGGGGGAGGGGGCGATGAGGGAAATAGAGAGATAGATGTTCAGCAAAGGGCACAAACTTTCAGTTAGAAGTTGAATAAGTTTTGGGAATCTAATGCATAGCATTGTGATTATAATTAACAATGCTGTATTATATACTTAAAAGTTGCTGAGAGTAAGATATTAAATGTTTTCGCCACAAAAAAAGAAATAGTAATTATATGATGTGAACGGAGGCTTTAGCTAATGGTGTGATAATCATTTTGCAGTATATAAGTATAGCAAATTAACATGTACATCTTAAGCTTATGCAGTGTTATGTATCAGTTACCTTTCAGTAGAGCTGGGATAGAGGGACTAAAGGCACACAAAACCCACTAAAGTAAATGAGTAGAAACAAAATGTAGTGGTGGTGATAATTCAGTGGTTACTCCTTGCCAACTGATTGAAGACCAAATTTCTGAGCCAGTGACTTTTAATGTCCCCTGGGGTTTGATCCTACCTGTTCAATTTTTCCCACCTATCTTCCAGAATGCACTGTGCTATCTCCTCTTTATTGCCTTGGTTAGTGCTTTCCTCTGCACCATTCCATCTCACCTTTTATATCTGTGTGGAAAAATCCTACCTATCCTCCAAGTTCCCACTCAGATGCGAACGTGTTTTCTCCGATCCTCCCAGCTGGAAGTGTGTCATCTGTGAGCTGTATTTTAGCTGACATTAAGCACGGAGTTTGTACCCTAGGCCTTATAGGTGTAGATCAGTGAGGTCTGTCCTTCTGTCTTGGAACTGGGAAGATGGAGAGTTAAGCATTCTGGCTACTGTTTAGATGTGTTTGAATTGTTTGATAAGCTTTCCCATTTATCAAAATTACTGTAATTATCAATGCAGATGAGGGAAGCAAAAGTTGTGTTGATTTTATTTTTGAACCACATTCTATGTTCATTTGACTAGAGCAGTGGAATGGTAGATTTTCTGTCTTCATGACATTTTTTAAAGCTAACACTTGAATTATATGGACCCTCTCTTCCCCTCACATTTTTAGGACCAGGCAATTGCTAGTTGGGAAGGAAGTCAATTTATGAATTTAAATCAGCTATAGGTGGTTCACTTTGAATAATCAACATAGAAGAGTTGACTTAATGGCGTCTTAACATTAGAGTACTCTTATGTCATTGAAAGAACACGAATTAGGTAGGATTCACGGAATATTTGAAAAAATGTGTTTTTGAAGTTTCAAGTGAGAGCTATTATCTGGATTCCACTCCGTTGATCACTTCTCATATTTCTTTTCCAGGTCCGGACCCTATTTGTCAGTGGTCTGCCCCTGGACATCAAACCTCGGGAGCTCTATCTGCTTTTCAGACCATTTAAGGTACCTTTTCTATCTTTCAGAAATTGTAAAAGGAAACAGAAAGCTTCATGGTGTCTTTTTGGAGGAAGAAATGAAATGCTTGAGAAAGTACCCTATAAAGTGATATTTTTAAAAGGTTAATAAGCAATGGGAATTTAACAACTCAACCCTACCTTACAGTGTTACTTACAAAAGATGGAAATGGCCTTTTGTCCTTCTAATAGCTAATCGAGACAAGTATCTTCTATTAACTGATGTGGACATGTATCTGTCTCTTCCACGTATAACAGCCTTAGTGTCCTCTGGCAATTGGGGATGTTTTTCTAGGTACAGATCACCAAAAATATTACCAATTGCTCATTATGTATTTATATTTCAAATGCAATAATATAAATCAAGCCCTATCCCTAGGAGATTATTAGTTGAAATTAGTTCAAACTAGTTCTATTAGTACTAGTCTTTGGAGGCAGAACTAGGCTTTTATGAATTAGACTAGGAATCTAATACCATATTTGTTTCATGAGAAAAATATCCTAAGTTGCAAATAAAGTAAAAACAATATTGTAAAGTGTTGCTTGGCATAAGGGGAAGCTTTCCTGGTGCTTCATGAAATATTTAATGCAGTGTGGCTATTGAGATATTACTACTTTGGAGATACTGAATGAATCTGGAATTGAAAACTTAACAGGAAGTCAGACTAAAGCTGAAATAACCATGTTACCTAGGCAAAACCTTGAAGGTTAGCCTGTGGAGGATTGGAGAAGGCTGGACTGGGCAAATTGTGGGCTGGAGGCCTTGGCCCTCAAGGAGTGAACCTGGAAGTCATGATAAACTCAGGGCTTGTGTCTGAGCTGGTTGTTGCTGACATGTCAGCCAGTGATGCCAGCTGGGGCCATACTTATGATTAGGCAATGGACCGTCTTGATTTTTGGTTAAAGATCCATCCCACTTGAAGCAGGAGTCCAGCCAAGACAGGTTGAGGAAACGTATCTAGTTATTTTAGGGAGAGGGAACAGGATGTAACAGCTGAAAACAGCTGTGTAGGAAAGGAAGAGAGAGGATCAAGAGGGCAGCCAGTTAAAACCAACAAAGATAAAATAGAGTCTAGCTTATATGCCAAGAAGGCATCATACAATGACATAATTCCATTCTGACAGATATCCCTTAATGCAGCGATTTTCTGCCTTTTTCATCTCATGGCACACGTAAACTAATTACTAAAATTCTGCGGCACACCAAAAAAAATATTTTTTGCCGATCTGACAAAAAAATAGGTATAATTTTTATTTATTAACACCAGGAAGCTATTGTTGTTTTGGCTGTTGTCTTTTTTTTTTTTTTTTTTTACAATCTAAGGGAAAAGAGGTTAGTGCTCCTGACTAAATAGTCAGGTATTACATGTTTTAAAAATTCTTACAACACCAGTTAAAAATCACTGTCTTAATGCAGTAATAAATGTTGACAGGTCAGAAGAAACAGAAAGCTTAGACGTGAGGTTAACTGAGAGGAAGTGGGAAAGAAAGAGAAGATGTGGGAAGAGAGTGCCAACTTGATAGAATTTCCTGACTTTCTTCTGCAGGCTTGCAATTTTTACTATCCCTTTTGTAGGATGAGGACATTTTAAGCTAATTGGTCTTCTTAATGGACAAAATACTATTGTGTTTATGTACCTGGAGAGAGACATTCATCTAGCAAGCCCCTTATATGAATTATCTCATTTAATTCTCATCATAATCCTTTAAAGTGGGTTGGCCTCATTTATTCAAATGAGGAAAATGAAACTTTGAGCAGTTGAATAAATTTTGCTCAAGTTTACACACACAGTAAATGACAGGGCCAGGATTCGAACCCAAGCAGTCTGACTGCCGTCCTTGCTCTGAACTACTGTGTGGTACTAATTCTCTTCTTGTGACTTGAGAGCACAGTATAGTCCTGCCAGTGGTTTGTACTTGAGTGAAATATTCATTTGTCCTTTGCCGCTGAGGCCTTCAGGGTGTTTAAACCTCTGGGTTTTTCAGAGAAAGCACCTTGAAAAGGGAAGAGGCAGGGCTGTGAATCATGACCTCTTTATCCAGAAGAGCTCAAGGCCTTTGAGGTAAAATGTTTACAGTAGCTAATTGGTCACATAGTTCTATGCTGGGAAAATATGAGGATGAATCAATCCCAACATTCTACCCAGAAATGCTTCCCTAAAGTCAGGACCCTGCTACATTCCTAACAACCCTCTTTTAATTAAAGTCCCTGAAGGTTGACACTGGTCTGCAAATCTGTCTCTACACTGATATGTGCGGTGGTCAATCATGTCAAGTGGTGTTTTTCCCTGTCTGTGTCATCCATCAGTGCAAGCCACCCGCTATTGATTATTTTCAGAAATAAACACACTTTGTTGTCCTTATCCTGAGAAGCCAGGGAGGGGTGAAAGGAGGTTTTGAAAGGGAGTGTTTCTATCTTCTTTGAAGATGAACTCAAGTAAAAACCCAGTAGGGCATTTTTGTATGTCCCAGTCAGAATACCAACATGAAAATTGGCTGATTCAATAAATAAGCAAAAGAACTGAAAAAGAAATTTAAAAAACCTCAACAAAATTTAGCATCACTACCTGCTTCACCTTTCCTGGCAGTTTTGAAATTTTGACGAATAGGTTCTACCCAGTGCATTCTTTTTTTAAAAAAAAAATAATTTTTTATTTTTCAATTAGAGTTGATATACAATATTATATTAGTTTCAGGTGTACAGCCATGTTGATTAGATATTTATATAACTTACAAAGTGATCACCAAAATATAGTACATTCTTAATGTTTCATTATTGTTATTTTATAGCAAATACATGACCAAGTTATCACATACTCTTACCGTCCTATCTTATTAAATTTACCTCCTTCAATCTCCTAGTTCTATAAAACAAAGAGATCTGTTGTACACAGACACCAATTTTCCTGCCATTGCATAATTTCATGAAAAAAAGTGAAAGAAACATAAAAATGCATGAATTTCAGGGTTTGGTTTTTATTAGGCCCCAAGTCTGCAAACAGACATATGTACACATGGGTGTGTGCATGTGTGCCTGTGTACAATTTGCTTTCCTGGTTAATTTAAAAGGCATTTGTGAAAGAGGTAGTCAATAGTCATAAAGGATTAAGAACTTATTTTTACTTGAGAAGATGCTATTATAATCCCCCCCTTTCTTTCTTTTTTTTGTCTAAATGTGGTTCTTTTTTATTTTCAGGGCTATGAGGGTTCTCTTATAAAGCTCACATCTAAGCAGGTAAGCATTTTAAACTTGCATATTAATGATCACTTCTACAATAAGTTTGAATTGACTTTCTTCAGGAATGTTGCTAGGGCTCAACATTCTTTATTCCCATTAGGATTTTATTTTGTTGTAGCTTTAAAAGATAGGGTGAGATTGGTTAGGAATTAGCACAGGAAAATGGCTTGTAATTCCATAGTCTCCAGCTAGGATGCCTGGGACTAACCCCAAGGAAGACAAATGTAACGCATCCAGCATAGGTATATTGGGGTTTATTTGTATATTCAAAAGTAATTATTATCCAAATTCACTTTTATTCCCAATTCTTTCCTGTTTGTGTGTGTGTTTTTTTAATAAGGTTAAACAGGCAGCCTTTCACAATCGGTATGAGTATCTGGTGATGAAGAATCATGTTCTCTCTCAAACCCCGAATGGAGGTGGTAATCAGTAACCCTGGTAGTTCCTGCAAACTTCTTAAATTTTTCAGCTGTATGCTTTTCCCCTCTAATGCTGAACACTCAGCATGCTCACCTCCCAATCACTTTTTGACACTCAGTGGGGTTTTCTCTGGTTCATCAGGAATAAGCTATGTTGCAAGTATCCTTTTGGACTAAAAGATACTGAGTCCAAAGGGATTATGACCCCTTTCTCTTTAGTTGGAACATTATGGGATTTGCGATGAAAATGTTCATCTGTAATTTTGATCATGCAGTGAGAGTACGGGCTTTTATCATTGTGTCATTGTAGTCTGCACTGATTGTGTACCAGAAGGTGATTCGGTTCTCTTTCTACTTAAAAAGATGAAGAAACTGAGGGGCATTGAATTAATTTAGAAAAGTAGAGTCTCTTGACCCAAGTTTTCCTCTATTCCCTTGTTCACTGCTGCTCACCTTCCAACCCCTTCTAGATTATTTTATGATTCTCTAACACCCCAGCTATATGCCCTTGAAGAACCACACTCACAATCCCTTTGATTCATGTTAGAAATTTAGCTAAACCACTGAGTCATGATTCTTCTGGACTGGCTTTCTTATTTCTACACAAATGCCTGTGGTCATTTCTTTATCTTAACTCTTCACTTTGACATCACCTCTGACCCAGAAAAATAGATATCCCCTGATTTTTTCCCCCCCTCATATTTCTTTTTCTTTCCTCAGCCCGTAGGTTTTGTGAGTTTTGACAGTCGCTCAGAAGCAGAAGCTGCGAAGAATGCTTTGAATGTGAGTACTTGTGTAATCATTGGGGGGTTTCCATATGAGGTGGTGGGAAATAGCGGAACCTCAAATGGAAGGAATATGACTTCATAATCCAACAGGAAAGGATTCCTCAATTTGATGAGCCCTCTAAAGAGATTTTTTTTCCTAGAATTGTGGTCAGATGTGCAAACTATTCAGTAATTTGCTCTTCTCTAGCTTTTGCTATAAGGCTCAAAATACCTGATAATGTCTTATTTTAGTTCAGCCCAGTCATACCCCATGGTGGTGTACAGCTTAGTTTGGCCATCACTGTGCTCTCAAAGGTAAGCCTAAGCCAAGAAAACATAAAAAAAACTTGGCTTTTCTTATTTCATGAGGTTTTATTTTAGGTATGTGGCTTTTTGTTTTTAAACAGGTCATTGTCATTATCCTGACTGATTAAAAACTTGCATCTATGGCTTTCCTGAAAGACATGCTGCATTGGGATATAAGTGAGAATAAACTGTGATTGAATAGACATAGCTGTATTTGGTTTGTTAGGTGTCTTGTCTGCCATATGTTATGAAGTGTTTACCAGTTTTACCTTGGTAAATACTTTCCCCCTTTGGTATGTTGAAAAACAAAACAACTTAAGGGAACCAAGCTGAGAGAATGTGGAAAGAAGCCAATTTAATTTAGTCCAGATGCTGAGAGCAGACCCTCAGGTGAGGAGTCTCAGTGAAAAGCTTGGCTCCATCCTGCTCCAGGCAGTTGGCCTAAGCAGCTGTGGATGAGGGTTGATTAATGTGGCCAAAAGTATCTAGGGTGCTTCTTGAAAGGAAAGTAGTAACTTAACTAGTTGTACTCTGGGTGTGATGGTGAAAGCTTCTGTGAGCTTATCACTGGCCTTTGTGTTGCTTTAGACTAGACCCGTGGTCGGCAAACTGTGGCTCGCGAGCCACATGCGGCTCTTAGTGTGGCTCTTCCTAAGCCTTAGGAGTACCCTAATTAAGTTAATAACAATATACCTACCTATATAGTTTAAGTTTAAAAAATTTGGCTCTCAAAAGAAATTTCAATCGTTGTACTGTTGATATTTGGCTCTGTTGACTAATGAGTTTGCCGACCACTAGACTAGACCAATACCCCTGCCGGTTGCTCTTCTGAGCTCCTTGATGCTAAGACAAACCATACTGAGGAGGGGCTGTAGAAAAGACCCGATGTCCCATTGATTTGCTGGCCCAAGAGAAAGGGGTCAACATAACGGTGTCATTGTGACACAATCTTCAGAGGTTTTGTGCTTTGGGAAAAAATTAATACATTCCCAGAAGAAATAATTTGCTTGTTATTGTTGGATTTTCATGAAAACATACAGGAATGTCTTCGGAATCCAAGAGTTCCAAAGAGCTTAGAATTTTTCTGGATCTGGATAAATGACCTTCTGGTTAAAACAACTGCGCACTTACCCTGTCCTCTCCTGCAGAACAAAATGTAAACCAATTATTTATTGATTACCAGTGGTACACACTAAAGCAAAGCGTATAGCTGAATATTTTTACTTAAAAATTATTTCATGATTTTTGTATTACATAGATGCAACCAGAATTTTCTCATAAAAAGAAATTTTAAACTCAAAAATTAAACCACAGTTTCTATTTAAGCAGTGTTTTCTTTCATTCTAACCAGGTGACATCTTTCTAAATTCAGAAATATTTTAGGTCCTTCAAAGTTATGTTAGATCACATTTTTACCAGGTTCTTTTCATTGTTCTTATCTTATATAATAAAAGCCTAATATGCAAATCAACCGAACGGCACTATGATGTGCACTGACCACCAGGGGGCAGATACTCAATGTAGGAGCTTCCCCCAGCCTGCAGGCCCCAGGCCAGCCAAGATGGGTGCCAGCGGGGAGGCTCCCCCTCGATCGCCCCGCTGGTCGCCCTGCCAAGGAAGGTGACAGGAGGTGGGGGGGAGGGCAGGCCGGACAAGCAGGCCAGCGCCGCCCCCTCCCATCACCCCACCTGTGGGAGGCGACCAGTGGCAGCAGGGCAATTGGGGGGTGGGGCCGGCCAGCGAGCGGGCCAGTGCCACCCCCCGATCACCCTGCAGGTTGTCTCCAAGATGGGTGCCAGCGGGGGGCCCCCCAATTGCCCCACAGATCGTCCCTGATCGCTGGCCAGGCCTAGGAACCCTACCTGTGCACAAATTTTGTGCACTAGGCCTTTAGTAAAGGAATTAACAGCCGTTGAAACTTGCTCACAGAGTGGAGCCTACATTGCCTTCCTTTATCTTTGCTAGGTATATGAAGGTGTCACTGACCCTCTGTCTGAAGAGCAGCAGGCTTTTATAGTTATTACCTCTCTCGTCTGACTAAGGCAACATTCTCTTATGAGCTAGGTTATTAAATGTTCATAGTCATAAGCTGTGATTTCTTGCCTTCTAAGCAAAGTATAGCAATATAAATGCAATTTTTCTTGGTGCCTGAGGGTTATATAATTTAAAATATCAGGTATTGAGCTATACTGTAACATAATGATAGAGATATTTAAGCCCACCCCTATGCCAGATGGCCCCAGCTCATTGGCTTTCTTGTCCTGAGGTCTGGTTTTAGGTTCTTTGTGTGCTCAGCTCTTCTTCTTTTTCACTGGCAGAAAGCTTTCCTTTAGCACCATCCTCTCGCTAATCATTAGTTTTGTTTGTTGCTCATATATTAATAACTTGGAAAGAACTCCAAGCAAAGCAGGTCTAATTCTGTCCTGTTCTGTGGACTTAAGGGTAACTGTTAATATTTACCTGAGGAATATTGAACCTTACCATTCTTCTGCTCAGAGGCTGTCTTGTGAGTACAGGGCATATATTAAGCTCCTAGTTGACCTCTTTCTCAATGTTTTAAACTTTTAAGCATAGAGTCTTTGTACATTAGAAATCACCTTATTGTTATAGTTGGGGGAACTGAGACCTAGAGAGAATGGCTGCTACCAATAGAAGTAGGCCTCTTGCTTCTTAGTCCTGGTGGCATTGACAGACTGTTTAATTCATGCTATCCAGGACAAATGGCCATGGTCATGTTTGGTGTGTGACTATGGAGCAAGGCGGCTTCTTCTCTTTGGAGAGGGAATGGGCCCATCTATAAATATAAAAGCCTAAGCGACTGTTCGACCAGTAGCTGTGACGTGCACTAACCACCAGGGGGCAGATGCTCAATGCACAGGCATGGAAACATGGAACCGACTGATGAATCTCAGGGGGGAGGCGGGAGGGGGGAGGGTAGGAAGAGATTAACCAAAGATCATATATACATACTAGAGGCCTGGTGCACGGATTTGTGCACTGGTGGGGTACCCTCGGCCTGGCCTGCGGGGATCGGGCCGAAACTGGCCCAGTGCACATGCACCAGTGGGGTCCCTCAGCCTGGCCTGCAGGGATTGGGCTGAAACTGGCAGTCTGACATCCCCCAAGGGGTCCCGGATTGTGGGAGGGCGCAGGCCAGGCCGAGGGACCCCACTAGTTTAGGATAATATACTGTATCATGAAGCTGACACATCTCTATGGCCCAATATATTATGCTTGTTTTCAGGGTCATCTTTTCTAATTAGTGAATTAAAAACATACGATGCTAATAGCTATTATATTTTCTCCTCCTGTCTTTTGTGCAGGCAGTTCTCTTAAATGCTTTTCCTCAAATTTCTTTGGGGAAAATTCCATTTTGTAATGTTTTGTTTGATTCTCCTATTAAGAAACTTAAACCTCAATTCAGTAAATCCCTCTATATGGAATAGTTCATAGTGTTATGAACCACTTCTCCATGTTGGAGAGATTCTTTTCTTGTTATGATTTCTGTCTTGGTTACTCTCTGATCCAATTATTAGTATTAGTAATTAGTCTTTCCCCATAATGACTGATTTTTGAATCCATTTATTTTCTTTCATTTTTGTATTATGCTCCAGTCAATTTGATAATTTTATGGAAAAGCTCCGATTGAATTGAGAGGCAACACTGAACTTGTATCAGGTGATAACTCCTATCTTCTAAATTAAGTACAGTATATTTTGTTTTTATAGCAAAAATTCCCAAATTAGTCCTAGCTGGTTTGGCTCAGTGGATAGAGCGTCAGCCTGCGGACTAAAGGGTCCCAGGTTCGATTCTGGTCAAGGGCATGTACCTTGGTTGCGGGCACATCCCCAGTGGGAGGTGTACAGGAGGTGGCTGATCGATGTTTCTCTCTCATCGATGTTTCTAACTCTCTATCCCTCTCCCTTCATCTCTGTAAAAAATCAATAAAATATATTTATAAAAAATTCCCAAATTAAGCTAAAAATAACCCAAACCCAGGCTTCCCTTCAGGTTATCTGTGTTATTAATCCTCATGAATAGAAATCCTGTTCATTTTTTTAAAATGGCAGCAAAGTATCTGACCTATTCTTCATCCTCCACACACATTAGTAATTTCTGTACCAGCAGTTTTCCATTTTCCATACTAATGGAAGGGGGAGATGAAAACCTAAAGTATTTAACTATTTTTAGGATTTGTTTATAATTTGGGAAGGTAGATTAAATATACAGAGTTAACCTGGTGAGTAAAAATTTGATTTGTGAAAATTTTAAGAAGAAACACAGGAAGCAGGGTAGGTCTAAGGATAAAGACCCTGAGCGGAGGTGAGATTAAGCCACCTCTGGCTATTCTACCAATTGTGAAGACCCCATTATTGCTGTTGTTGCCTAGCTGAAATCATGTCTTAATATAAATAAAAATGATAAGTAGTTACCACTTCTGATCAGCAGGCTCATCGTGTTCCTTGCTTGTGTACAGTTTCTTAATGAGCATTATCTTACACCGGTGCTTGGGAATTGCTCATCTGAAGTACTTGAAAAGATTGTGTGTAGATTCTTGTGTATATGTGCCAATTGTTTTATATCTCTCCTCCCCTATTTTTAAATAGTTGTTATGTGGGGGGGTGAATTTTATATTAGGACCAGAGAAGTCTGATGTTATCAAACTATGCACTGCAAATTGTCTTAACTAAACATTGCTTAGGATAGCAG